CCCAGAATGCTGGCTGGGATGGATGGGGACAGTAGTCTTCCTGTATTGGGGGGGGTGGAGGGACCACAAATCCCAGAATGCCCCCCGGCTGGGATGGATGGGGACAGTAGTCTTCCTGTATTGGAGGGTGGGGCGGACCACAAGTCCAAGAATGCTGGCTGGGATGGATGGGGACAGTAGTCTTCCTGTATTGGGGGGGTGGGGGGACTACAAGTCCCAGAATGCTCCCTGGCTGGGATGGATGGGGACAGTAGTCTTCCTGTATTGGGGGGTGGGTGGACCACAAGTCCCAGAATGCCCCCCGGTTGGGATGGATGGGTATAGTAGTCTTCCTGTATTGGGGGGTGGGGTACAAGTCCCAGAATGCCCCCCGGGTGGGATGGATGGGGACAGTAGTCTTCCTGTATTGGGGGGGTGGGGTAACTACAAATCCCTGAATGCCCCCTGGCTGGTATGGATGGGGACAGTAGTCTTCCTGTATTGGGGGGGGTGGCGGAACACAAGTCCCAAAATGCCCCCCGGCTGGGATGGATGGGGACAGTAGTCTTCTTGTATGGGGGGGTGGGGAGTCTACAAGTCCCAGAATGTCTCCTGGCTGGGATCGATGGGGACAGTAGTCTTGTATGGCGGAGGGGGGGAGAATCGTGGGCGACCCTCCCTGGTTAGTGCTCAACTTGGGCCCCTTGAAGATGGGGGGATGGGGGGACTACAAGTCCCAGAATGCCCCCTGGCTGGGATCGATGGGGACAGTAGTCTTGTATTGCGGGTGGGGGTTAGAGACCCTAACCCTCCCTCCACCGGCTGGGATCAATGGATAAAATAGCCTTGTTGGGTTGGGAATCGTGGGTGCTCAAGTTGGGCCCCTTGAAGATGGGGAGGGGGGACTACAAGTCCCAGAATGCTGGCTGGGATGGATGGGGACAGTAGTCGTCTTGTCTTGGGGGATGGGGGGGTGAGAGTCAGCCCTCGGTGCTCGAATTGGGCCCCTTTGAGGCGGGGACTCCAAGTCCCAGAATGCCCCCTGGCTGGGATGGATGGGGACAGTAGTCTTCCTGTATTGGGGGGTGGGGGGACTACAAGTCCCAGAATGCCCCCTGGCTGGGATCGATGGGGGCAATAGTCTTGTATGGGTGGGGGGAGAAATCGTGGGTGACCTTCCATTGTTAGTGGTCAAGTAAAGTTGGGCCCCTTGAAGATAGGGAGGAAGACTACAAGTCCCAGAACGCCCCCCCGGCTGGGATCAATGGGGACAGTAGTCTTCCTGTATTGGGGGGTGGGGGACTACAAGTCCCAGAATGCCCCCCAGCTGGGATTGATGGGGACAGTAGTCTTCTTGTATTGGGGGGGTGGAGAGACTACAAGTCCCAGAATGCCCCCCGGCTGGGATCGATGGGGACAGTAGTCTTCCTGTATTAGGCGGGGGTGGGGTAACTACAAATCCCTGAATGCCCCCCGACTGGGATGGATGGGGACAGTAGTCTTCCTGTATTGGGGGGTGTGGCGGACCACAAGTCCCAGAATGCCCCCCCGGCTGGGATGGATGGGGACAGTAGTCTTCTTGTATTGGGGGGTGGGGGTGTGAGTCAGCCCTCAGTGCTCGAATTGGGCCCCTTTAAGGCAGGGACTACAGGTCCCAGAAACTGCAGGCTTGGATCCAGACTCTCAGGGGTGTTCAAACTAGGCCCTTTTATGACTGGTGGACTTCAACTCCCAGAATGCCTCAGTCGGCCATTTTGATGAAACTGCGGGCTTGGATCCAGACCAGGGGTCTTCAAACATGGCCCTTTTATGACTGGCGGCCTTCAACTCCCAGAATTCCTCAGTCGGCCATTTTGATGAAACTGCAGACTTGGATCCAGACTCTCAGGGGTCTTCAAATTTGGCCCTTTTATGACTGGTGGACTTCAACTCCCAGAATGCCTCAGTCGGCCATTTTGATGACACTGCGGGCTTGGATCCAGACTCTCAGGGGTCTTCAAACTTGGCCCTTTTATGACTGGCGGCCTTCAACTCCCAGAATGCCTCAGTCGGCCATTTTGATGAAACTGCAGACTTGGATCCAGACTCTCAGGGGTCTTCAAACTTGGCCCTTTTATGACTGGCGGCCTTCAACTCCCAGAATGCCTCAGTCGGCCATTTTGATGAAACTGGGAGCATGGATCCAGACCAGGGGGTGTTCAAACTAGGCCCTTTTATGACTGGTGGGACTTCAACTCCCAGAATTCCTCAGTCAGCCATTTTGATGAAACTGGGAGCATGGATCCAGACCAGGGGGTGTTCAAACTAGGCCCTTTTATGACTGGTGGGACTTCAACTCCCAGAATTCCTCAGTCGGCCATTTTGATGAAACTGTAGGCTTGAATCCAGAACAGTGGTCTTCAAACCAGGCCCTTTTATGACTGGTGGACTTCAACTCCCAGAATTCCTCAGCCAGGCACGCTGGCTGAGGAATGCTGGGAGTTGAAGTCCACCAGTCATAAAAGGGGCCACGTTTGAAGGCCCCTGGCATAGATTCACCTCATAAGGGTGGGAGAAAAAAGCTTATCCGGTGGGGCAAAAGCCGCCTCACAACTGCCTCACTTAACGACGGAAATATGAGGGTCAGTTATGGAGGAGGAAGGAATGTAGGCTCCCGGGTGCTCTCTGAGCCGGGTGGTTTTCTTTGCAGACGTCTCACCACCCAACTAGGGAACATCATCAGTGCCTTAGGCGGCAGGAAGTCCTCGACTTACGACAGCTCGTTTAGTGACCGTCCCGAGTTACAACGGCACGGGGGGCCAAAAAAAAGGGACTTAGGGCCGTTCTTCACACCCTGCACCATGGTGGCCATCCTCCAAGGGTCCCGCAATGAAAAATCCAATGCTTGGCATCTACTTCACACTTACGACGGTTGCCGAGTCCCTAGGTCAGGGGATTCCGCTCCCTTTAGCAACCGTGAATTTTGGTCATAAAGTGAGGACTCTGTCTGGAAGGCGGGAATCCGGAAGGCTTCCACAACTCGGCGTGGAGTTGTGTTGGAGTTTTTTGTGCGCCCCAGTGAATTGCTAGCTGGGCAGCCTCCTGTGTGGAAAACAACCACACACACACTTCTACAGTAAGCAAGGACACCACCCAGGTTGCTCAAGTGTGTAACCACAACAGGAAACCTCCGCCAAAGCTTGCGCTTTGTTGTTTGTCGTGGCGACACACAGACAAAAGCGGGCCTCTTCTGCATTGGGTCCTCGGCTTACGACCGCAACCGAGCCAGAAATTGCCATTACTAAAAAGACACTTTAAACAGATTGCCACTTTTCGGAGGTCGTTAAGCTGGTTGGACGGTCGTTAAGAGAATGTGGCTTCGGGCCTGTCGGAAAAGGGAAACGAAAGGGAACTGGGCTGAGAAAGGGATGGATGGATGGATGGATGGATGGAGACAGATCACAGAGAGAGAGAGAGAGAGAGAGAGAGAGAGAGAGAGAGAGAGAGAGAGAGAGAGAGAGAGAGAGAGAGAGAGAGAGATATGATAGGTAGGTAGGTAGGTAGATAGAGAGACAGAATTAGATAGAGAGATAGAGATATGATAGATAGAAGATAGATAGATAGATAGATAGATAGATAGATAGATAGATAGATAGATAGATAGATAGATAGATAGATAGATAGATAGATAGAATTAGATAGAATTAGATAGAGAGATAAAGACAGAGAGAGAGAAAATTAGATAGACAGACAGAATTAGATAGATAGACAGACAGACAGATAGACAAATAGATAAATAAATAGATAGAGACAGAATATAGAGATAGGATAGATAGATAATGGATGGATGGATGGATAGATAGATAGATAGATACGTAGAATTTAGATAGATAGACAGAATTAGAGAGAATTAGAGAGATATAGATAAATAGGCAGACAGACAGACAGACAAATAGATAAATAGAGAATATGAGATAGATGATAGATAGATAGATAGATAGATAGATAGATAGATAGATAGATAGATAGATAGATAGATAGATAGATAGATAGATAGATAGATAGAAACAGAATTAGAGATAGACAGTCAGATAGATAGAGACAGACAGATAAATAGAGACAGAGAATATGATAGATAGATAGATAGATAGATAGATAGATAGATAGATAGATAGATAGATAGATAGATAGATAGATGATAGAATTAGAGAGATAGATAGATAGATAGATAGATAGATAGAATTAGAGAGATAGATAGATAGATAGATAGATAGATAGATAGATAGATAGATAGATATAATTAGAGAGAGAGATAGATAGAGACAGAATTAGAGATAGACAGTCAGATAGATAGAGACAGACAGACAGACAGATAAATAGAGACAGAGAATATGATAGATAGATAGATAGATAGATAGATAGATAGATAGATAGATAGATAGATAGATGATAGAATTAGAGAGATAGACAGATAGATAGATAGATAGATATAATTAGAGAGAGAGATAGATAGATAGATAGAGACAGAATTAGAGATAGACAGTCAGATAGATAGAGACAGACAGACAGACAGATAAATAGAGACAGAGAATATGATAGATAGATAGATAGATAGATAGATAGATAGATATAATTAGAGAGATAGATAGATAGATAGATAGATAGATAGACAGAATTAGAGATAGACAGTCAGATAGATAGAGACAGACAGACAGACAGATAAATAGAGACAGAGAATATGATAGATAGATAGATAGATAGATAGATAGATAGATAGATAGATAGATAGATAGATAGATAGATAGATATAATTAGAGAGAGAGATAGATAGATAGATAGAGACAGAATTAGAGATAGACAGTCAGATAGATAGAGACAGACAGACAGACAGATAAATAGAGACAGAGAATATGATAGATAGATAGATCGATAGATCGAAAGATCGAAAGATCGAAAGATAGATATAGATAGAGAGATAAAGAGAGAGAGAGAGACAGAGAGAGAGAGAGAGAGAATCAGAGAGAGAGAGATCAGGGCTTCTCAGCCTGCTGGCTGGGGAATTCTGGGAATTGAAGTCCGCCCGTCTTCCAGCTGCCAAGGTTGACAAACCCTGTTCCAGAGTCGGAGGGTCTTTTGAAGGGCAGCCAAGCACAGCTGGAAACACCCGCCTGGCTCTGGGCTTCTCCAGCTGTGTCCTGGCGCCGCTCTTCTCCCTGGAAAAACAACGTTCAATCAAAGCCTCTGAAATCAATGTTGGCTTGTCTTTTCCACTCGTCCTCTCCTCCTCCTCTCAACCCGGTTTGTTTGTCTGCTGACTCCGATCTGCTCGGCATCCAATTTCTCTCCCCCCCTCCCGGTGTCTCTTGGCTGCACAAAGCCACATTTTGTTTTGTAGCCTCGCCACAAATACCA